GGGGCTGCCTTTTGCAGTGAACTAAGCACCCTTGATAGCAGGAAACAATCCAAGTATTTGTCCCTAACTCCTAACAACAGCTGCTTTACAAAGTGTCAAAGCTGATAGAAATCAATATCAAAGCAATAATCAAAATACTAATGGCAACAATTGCTAAGAGAAACCCTATAATGAAAAACTGGCAGCGGGCACAGCAGCTCTGCTGCACCTCTCCTGGTCACTCACAAACCAAAGCACTGACCACTTAGTAACTCTCACAATGGCCCCACAAGCCTGGCACCACCAGCATGTTCTACAGACATGGAAACCGAGGCTCAGCTAACGTAAGTACCGTGCCCCCAATCCACCCCTGCTAAGAGGCAGAGCTGGGACTGGAACACAGGTCAGTCTCATTTCCAAAACCCCCATTTCAGCCCTGGCTGGTGTTGCTCAGTGGTTAGAGCGGTGGCCCTGGACCAGAGTCTCGAGTTGGATTCTGGTCAAGGGCATGTACTTCCGTTGCGATTCCAACCCCGGCTCTGGTCGGTGTCGCACGGGAGGCAACCAATCGATGTGTGTCTCTCACATCGATGGTTCTCCCCCCCACCTCTCCCTCCCATTCTATTCGAAGATAAATGGAAAAATATCTTCAGGTGAGGATTAAAAAACAAAAAAAACCTTTCACACAACCCACTTGGTTACTCATTCCAGCACAGTCTCAGAAAATCCGAGGCTCTTGGGGAAGAAGCGTCACAGCGAGCGCATCATTTCACAGGGGGTTGGGGAAGAAAGACAAGGCACCGACATGAAGCTCACCCAGATCTCCGTGGCTTTTCGTGGTGCCAAACAAACGCAGAAGGAGCCACTTCTAAAAGAACACAGTGTTTTTCCTCTTCTCACCTCCCCTGGGCCTGTGCCTGTGATAATTGGGAAGCACAGAGTCTGGTTTTTCTGGGATTGGAACCAATGCTGTGAAGAGTGTTCCGACAATAAATGCTGTTGATTGACAGTTGATAGACAACGTTCTTGAGTCAGTTTCTTCTGTGCTGGGTGTTAAGATGAGATCCGCACTAAGCAACTGCTCAACAGCCTGCTTACTGTTTAGAAAGAATTTACTACACGTTTCCTCTGTGGGCCTCAGCCAGGCCGCCAGGCGAGATGTTATCTCGGGTCCCTTCCAGCTCCATCATTCAATGACTCTATCAAGACGAGACCACAGGTCTGAAAACATTCACACAGGAAACAACAGGCTCCATGGAGAGATAACTGGTCAGAAAATAAGAAGCTTTGATTCTGGTCTCATATTCTTTGACCCAATACTTCCACTTGCACAAATTTATCTTAAAGAATTCAGAAAGACAGAACTATGTGTATGAAGATGTTTGCTTTAGCGTTACTTGGAGGTAATGTCTAATATAAGAATGGGGTGTATTCACTTGGTGCCATACACCGCCATCACAAATGATTATTTCGGAGACATAAGGAAATGTGCATGGCAGTGTTTTACAAATTGCAGTTGAATACCCATTAATGGGTCATGAAATAAACTTAATAGGTCTCCTGCCACCAACTTTTTTATTTTTAATCCTCACCGGAGGATATTTTTCCATTTATCTTCAGATAGAGTGGAAGGGAGGAAGAGAGAGAGAGAGACATCGATGTGAGGACATTGACCACTGCCTCTCGAAGCAGGGCAGGGGATGAACTGCAACCAAGATACATGCCCTTGACTAGAATGGAACCCGAGACTCACTGGTCCAAGGGCCAATGCTCTAACCACTGAGCATACCCGCCAGGGCTCAACTTTAAAAAAAAAATAAAATAGCTAGAATAGAAAATATCAGAATGCATCACAGGTGGTAAAGGTGTTTATCAGGAAAATTTTGTTTCAGTTACATGGGTGACTGGGCTATGATACAGAATAACATTTGTTACCATGGGGTCACAGTCAAAACATTTCAAAGTGCCAGATCAACAGTACAATAGGATGACAACAGTATAATAGGATGACAACCTGAGAGGGAGCCTGGAGAGGAACATGCAGAAACAAAGACAGGAACCATGTTAACAGTGGTAGAATAAAGGATGCTTCTTACGCCCTGGACAGTTTTGCTCAGCGGTTAGAGCGCTGGTGCTCAGACTGAGGGTTTGTGAGTTCGACTCCCTGTGGTTTGAGCCCTGGCCCCAGTAGGGATTGTGAGGAGGCCCCTGGACACAACCAATTGATGTGTCCCTCTTATATTAATGTTTCTCTCTCTCTCTCCTTCCCCTCTCTCTAAAAATAATCAATTGAAAAAGTGGAAGCACATACCTTGTTCATAGATTGGAAGAATTAACATCATTAAAATGTCCATACTACCCAAAGCAATCTAAAGATTCAATGCAATCCCCATCAAAATACCAATGTCATATTTCACAGAACTAGAACAAATATTTCAAAAGTTCATATGGAACCAAAAAAGTCCCCGAATAGCCACAGCAATTTTGAAAAAGAAGGACAAAGTAGGTGGGATCCCAATACCAGATATCAGGCTATACTACAAAGCGACTGTAATCAAAACAGCCTGGTACTGGCACAAGAACAGGCAGATAGACCAGTGGAACAGAACTGAAAACCCAGAAATGGACCCAAGGCAATATGCTCAATTAATATTTGACAAAGGTGGCAAGAGCATACAGTGGAGTAAAGACAGCCTCTTTAATAAATGGTGTTGGGAAAATTGGACAGCTACATGCAAAAAATGAAACTAGACCATCAACTTAAACCATACACAAAAATAAACTCAAAATGGATAAAAGACTTAAATGTGACCTGTGAATCCATAAAAATTCTAGAAGAAAATGTAGGCAACAAAATTTCGGACACCATATGGAGCAGAATTTTCACTAATACATCACCTAAGGCAACAGAAAAAAAGGGAAAAATGAACACATGGGACTACATCAAACTCAAAAGCTTCTGCACAGCCAAAGAAACAATCATCAAAATGGAAAGGCAACCCACTGTATGGGAGAACATCATTGCCAATGATATATCAAATAAGGGGTTAATTTCCAATATATATAGAGTGCTCATACAACTCAACAAAAGGAAGATAAAGAACCCAATTAAAAAATGGGCAGAAGAGCTGAATAGACACCTCTCCAAACAGGACATACAAATGGCCAAGAGACATATGAAGAAATGCTCAACATCACTAATCATCAGAGAGATGCAAATTAAAACAACAATGAGGTATCACCTCACACCTGTCAGAATGGCCGCCATCAACAAATCATCAAACAACAAGTGTTGGTGAGGATGTGGAGAAAAGGGGACTCTAATACACTGCTGGTGGGAATGCAGACTGGTGCAGCCACTATGGAAAACAATATGGTGTTACCTCAGTAAATTAAAAATTGAACTTCCATTTGACCCAGTGATCCCGCTTCTAGGAATATACCCTAGGAAGCCTGAAACACCAATCAGAAAGAATATATGTACCCCCATGTTCATAGCAGCACTATTTACAATAGCTAAGATCTGGAAACAGCCCAAGTGTCCATCAGTAGAAGAATGGATAAAAAAGCAGTGGTACATATACACAATGGAGTACTATGCAGCTGTAAGAAAGAAAGATCTCTTATCCTTTGAGACGACATGGAGGGACCTGGAAAGTATCATCCTAAGTGAAATAAGCCAAGCAGAAAAAGACAAATACCACATGATCTCACTTATATATGGAATATAATGAACATAACAGTCTGAGGAATAGGGTTGACCCAGAAACATGGAAGTAGGGCACAGACTGACATCTGTCAGAAGAGGGGGTGGGGGAGGTGGGAAGAGATAAAGCACAGAACTTATATGCATGTACGCATAACCAATAGACATGGACAACAAAGCCGGGGATGGGGCGGGTGTGGGGTGGGGAGGGGGGTGCCAATGGGGTAAAAAAGGAGAAACATCTGTAACAAAAAATAAATAAATTTAAAAAAATAATCAATTGAAAAAAATCCTCAAGTGAGGATTTTTTAAAAAAGGATGCTGCTTAGGTTTCTGTGATGTTTGTGGGTAACATAAGAACACAAGACAAAAAGGAGGAATAGGAGTCTGACCAGTGTGGCTCAGTGGTTGAGCATCATCCCATGCACCAAGAGGTCACTGGTTTGATTCCCGGTCAGGGCACATGCCCAGGTTATGGATGGACCTGATTCCCAGTGAGGGGCATGCAGGAGGCAGCCAACTGATATTCCCTCTCATTGATGTTTCTGTCTCTCACTTCCTCTCTCTCTAAAAATCAATAAAGGGAAAAAAAATTTTTAAAAAGGACTAACAGCAGAAGATCATTATCAGATCCCAAAAGGCCAAAGGACTCAAGATAAGGCTTCTGGAGCAGTAGTGCTTCAGGATGGGCTTTGAAGGTTGGACAGGATTTAAATGAAGGGTGGGCCTCAAAGTGTGCAGGATAGCCACTAAAAGGGATGAAGGGCACCCGGCTGGTGTAGCTCACTGGTTGAGCATAACCCATGCACCACGCGGTCGCTGGTTTGATTCCTGGTCAGGACACATGCGATCCCCAGTGAGGGGCATGCAGGAGGTGACCCATCCATGTTCACTCATCCATGTTCTCTCTCATCGATGTTTCTAGCACTCTCTCCCTTCCCCTCTCTAAAAATCAATAAAGAAAAAAAAATTTTTTTTAAATAAAAGGGATGAAGGGCATGAAAAAGAACAGTTGGAGGGAAAGTCTCTCAGTGCCGTAAAGCGGCTTTGAATTAGTAAGAAAGGGGCAACTCTACTCCTGGGCGGCCGGTATTCCTCCGGGGCATCTAGTGATCTAGCCTCTCCCCAGCCCCTGGCCGAGACCGCAAACCAGAGGTTGCCCCTCATAAACATGGCCGCGCCACGTTGGCCACGCCCCTCAACAAGATGGCGATCACCAGTAGCCCCACCTCCTGCCACCTCGCTGGCCAATGAGGGAGACGTACGAGTGTGTGTGCATGCGCGGTGCCAGCAATGGGCGTGTCCAAAATGACGAGGGGGATCCCGGCAAGTAACATGACTAAAAAGAAGCGGGAGAATCTGGGCGTCGCTCTAGAGGTGAGGGGAGAAGTGGGGGTGGGCCACCTCATTAAGTGCCTACTCCCCGCGGCGGGGAAGTGAGTCAGCCCCGCTGCAGGTTGGAGGAGGGGCCTAAGGGCGTCGCGGATTTGGGAGAGGGACGCGAGGGTCGTGAGAGGGCCCCCTTATGGGTACCTGGAGTTGAGGGGCACGATGGGGGGACCGAGTGTTGGAGAGCCCGAGGGGCACCAGAGATGGGAGCCAGCGGCGAGGGGACCTCCAGAGGGGTAGAAACGTGGAGGTGAACGGCAGCCCCCAAAGAGGGCCGGACAAGGAAATAAGGAGGCCCTAAGGGGAACGTTCAATGAGGACCCCAAAGGGGCTGTAGTCAGAGGTGAGGGGGATCCCAGAGGGGTAGAGAGCTGTAGATGAGGAACCCCCAAAGGTAAGGGAGCCCATACTGGTTAGTGTGTTGGTAGTGGCTTAACTTTCCTCCGAGATGGTAAAACTTTCCTCTAGACTGAAGCTTGGCGCTTGAAAATTACTGGGGGACCTGCGGGAGTTTGTAGAGAAGTGTGGAATGGTGACGTTCCCGAATTGCGAACACATATTAGAGGCGCCCTGGCCGGGTCGCTCAGTCGGCTGGAGTGTCGTCCGGTACACCAAAGGCTGCGGGTTTGATTCCTGGTCCGGGCGAGTATGGGAGGCAGCCCATCGACATCTCCCCCCTCCCTCTCTCATGAATAAAATATGTCCTCAGGTGAGGATTTAAAAAATAAATAAAACTAATTTGCTGCATATGGAAGGGAAAGAAAATTGATGCATATTAAGCAACGGCTACATGCTGCTTTGCATTCTCAGTTAATCGCGACAAGCCTGTAAGATTTTTACAGATAAGGAAACTGAGGTGTCAAGTAGAGCCCAGGTTGAAGCTGTGGGGGAGCTGAGAATCAAGCCGGGTGGTTTGTCTTCTAGTGCATCTTGTTCTCATATGTTACAATTCCCTTAGATATGGAGCCAACCAGTCAATGTTTCTGTCTCACATCGATGTCTCTCTCTCTCGCTCTCTCAAAATCAATGAAGAAAACATATCCTCCAGAGAGGATTTTAAAAAAGGAGAGAGAAATAGTCTTCTTGAGCTTGCTGTCAGTTCAGTGCTTCTCTAACTTAAGGCTGCATTAACAATCCTTTGTAGAGCTTTTTACAATGGAGAGTTGAATTCTCCCCCACCTGGTAGGACTTGGGTGTGTATTTTGGGGTGGGGGGGTATGTTTAACAAATAATTTTTTTAAAATTCTCAACCGAGGACATTTTTTGCATTTATCTTCAGATAGAGTGGGAGGGAGAGAAGGAGGAAGAGAGAGCGAAACATCGATGTGAGAGAACACATCGAGTGGTTGCCACCCACACAACCCCAACTGGGGCTAAGACAAACTGCAACGGAGGCTCGTGCCCTTAGTGGGAACTGAACCTGGGACTCTCTGGTCCACTGGCCGACACTGTAACTGCTGAGTCAGATCGGCCAGGGCCAAATAATTTGTTTTTTATTGATTGATTTGAGAGAGAGAGAGACATCAATTTGTTGTTCCACTTATTTATGCAATCATTGGTTGGTTCTTATATATGCCCTGATCAGGGGAACCTGCAAGCTTGGCATATCAGGACAACACTCTCACCAAATGAGCTTTGGTTAGGGCCAAATAATTTGCTTTTAACAAGCTACTCTTACATGCTGAAGCAGGTTTTAAGTACCACCCCTTGAGAAATATCAGCCTACTTGGTAGGAGAAAAAGTTTGATGTAAATATGAACCTCCTTCAAAATGAAGATGGTAAAATGAGAAGGCACTAAGTTGTGGGAAGAGCATAGACTTTATAGTCTGTATTAGGACACGATAAGCTGCTATAACAGAAACCCCAAAAGTCAGTGGCTTCAAGAACAAAATTTTTTTCTAACATGCTAGAGCAGAGATGGGCAGACACTGTCTCTAAGGTTCAGATGGTAAACATTTTAGGTTTTGGGGCCATACATTCTCTGTTGCAACTACAGTTGATCCTCATTACTCATGGAGTCTGTGAATTTGCCTACTTGTTAAAATGTATGTGTAACCCCAAAATTGTTAAAATGTATGTGTAACCCCAAAATCAATACTTGCAGTGCTTTTGCAGTAATCCATGGACACACTTGAAGCAGTAAAAAAATTTGAGTCACCTGAGGCCCTAAGGTTAAACAAGGCAGTGCTCTGCCTTCTTTTTTTTAATCCTCACCCAAGGATGTTTTTCCATTTTTGTTCAGATACAATAGGAGGGAGGGAGGGAGAGAGAAACATCGATGTAAGAGAGACACATCAACTGGCTGCGTCCCACATGACCCCAACCAGGGCCGTGGACAAACCGCAACCGAGGTACTGCCCTTGACCAAAATTGAACCTGCGACTTTTGGTCTCCGCGGGCTGACGCTCTAACCGCTGAGCAAAACCAAGCCAGACCTCTACCTTCTTTTTTTTATTTTAGAGAGAGAGAGAGAGAGGTAGAAACATCAATGATCTGCCTGCTGCATGCGGGATCAAGGCCACAACCTGGGCGTGTGCCCTGACTGGGAATCGAACCAGCAACCTCTTGGTACGTGGGATGACACGCAACCACTGAGCCACACCACTGGCCAGGCAGTGCTCTGCCTTCTTATTTCAGTGCTTATATGGTAAACAAGTGTCCTTTTCTGTGGTCTGTTTCATGCCACATTTTTTGTAAGTTTGTTTTTCATTGGTGATTTTGCTGTTTAAAATAGCTCTCAGGTGTAGTGCTGAAGTGCCATCTAGTTTTCCAAAGTGCAAGAAGGCTTCATGTGCCTTACAGAGAAACTGTGTGTTACTTTGTTCAGGTCTGAGTTATTGTGCTGTTGGCTGTGAGTTCAGTGTTAATGAATCAAGAATATATATTACATTAGGTCTTTTTAAATAGAAACACACTCAAAACAAGGCTTTGTATAGATCAGTTGATAATAATGTGACCAGAGGCTCATAAGAACCTAACCTGGCTCAGTATATGCTAATTCATTTTTGGTGACAGCTTTATAGAACATAACTATTACAAATAACATGAATCAGCTATACTCTGACTTAGCACAAAAGCAGCTACAGATAGTATGTAAATTAATGGGTGTGGCCATGTTCCAATAAAACTTTATTTACACAACAGTTGGTGGACCATTTTTGGTCCATAGGCTATAGTTTGCCAACCCCTGGTCTAGAGTACTAGGACACTGGTGGTTCTGCTGTATTCCTTCCATCTTGTGGCTCTGCCTTTACCTAGGACCTATTGTCACCTCATGAATGAAACCAGGCCACACCCCATTGGTGTGTCCACTGACAGGGAAGGAGAAAGTCGAGGAAGCACAACCACTGTGTTAAAAGTCCTGGGCCTGCCCTAGCTGGTTTTGCTCAGCAGTTACAACATCAGCCTGAGGACCAAAGGGTCTCAGGTTCAATTCCCAGTCATAAGCACATACCTGGGTTGCAGGTTTGATCCCCGGCCCTTGTGGGAGGCAACCAATGGATGTGTTTCTCTCATGTCGATGTTTCTTTCTCTCCCCTCCCCCCACCCCACCTAAAAAAGCTCAATAGAAACATATCCTTGGGTTAGGGTTAAAAACAAAAGAATCCTAGCCCTAAAGTGCCCACTTTCCATTGGCCAAGATGCAAGCTAACAAGGGAGTCCTCACCTAACTGCAGGGGAGGCTGGGAAATACATTCATCAGCTAGGAAGCCATAGCTTAATTGCTATGAAAGAAGGGGCTCGTGTGTTTTAGTGGACATCACCCAGTCTACACAGATTGCAGCTTAACCTCACAGTGTGGTTTTGAGGATTAAATGAGAAAATCTATTTAAAGTGCCTAACACGTGCCTGGCAGTGTTATGATCAACAAACAGTGCTCTTTATTAGCGACTTTTGTGGTTCTTTTGCACTTTTTATCATGGCTAAGTCATCCCCCTTGTTTGGGCTTTAATTTCCTCACCTGTAACTTCATTCACCAGGGGTTACAGACTCACTATGGTCTAAATACAGGTGACAGATGTCTTTGGTTTGGCTGACACTGTTTTAAAATTGTTTTGAATTTGATGGGGCATATGCTCTAATACCACCTTATACCAGTCACATTTGCCAATATATTTTTTTATGTATCAATACCAATATAGGTATTTATATTTGTCATCTTGATCTCTAAGGTTACTTTTTCTTGGATATTCTAAAATTTGAAATCTGCAACTGTGTGCCTTTGAAAAAAAAGCTTGGCATCAGGCTGTCTCCTCACCTTGTTTCTCTGTTGCCCCCAGCGGGTCCGAGTATTGAATGTGCACTGATGCTCAGTAGCAGTAGATACTGTCCTCATTAAAAGTCGTGTGCTTAGAGCCAATGAAGTGGTGATTTAATCAAAAATGTTTGTTAATCTGACGAGAGCAATAAAACCCCCTCAAGTGAGTGATCTCAGCACCTGCAAACAGTCTCCGCTTGTTGTAATGAAGCAATTACAGAGCAGGCGGCACTCACCCCGAGGGCTGGCTTGGGCCAGCTGAACCGGGCAGTCACCTCCCAGGACAACCAAGGGACCTCCTAGCCACCCTACTCATGGCTCCCCTCAAGACCTTTTTATCCAACTCATTTGCCACCTTGTGAGATTTCAGAGTTGGAAAAAAATGGCTATAAGTTTTAGCTTCTGAGAGTTAATTCTGAATAGCAAGAAAGAATTACAATTCAGATGAGAAGTCAACACCCTGGTACTGATTTTAATGTTATGTGGGAGGAGGAAGAAGTTGTATTTCAGTCTAAACCAGTGGTTCTCAACCTTCCGAATGCCGCGACCCTTTAATACAGTTCCTTATGTTGTAGTGACCCCCAACCATAAAATTATTTTTGTTGCTACTTCATAACTGGAATTTTGCTACTGTTGTGTCTTAGGCAACCCCTGTGAAAGGGTCGTTTGACCCCCAAAGGGGTCGCAACCCACAGGTTGAGAACCATTGAAACTGATAGGTGGATTCTG